CAATGGAAGGGCTTATCTCCGCTGGAGGCTACGTGGGAACCAGGCTATCTCATCAACCAACAATTTCCCTCCTTCCACCTTGAGGACAAGGTGGCTGAATTGGGGGGGTAATTGATAGGCCACCGGTTAAATATACTTATTCTAGAAGAAACAAGAAGAGTGGAGAGTGAGGGCAGTAACCAATTCTGTTAGCATAGCAGGGACAGGTGAGTAAATTCTGTTACAAAGACTATAAATAGAGGCTGAATAAAAGTGTTAGGCATGAGATAATAAAGTGAGGAAATCACAGTGTGGAGAGTCACAGCCCTCTCGAACGGCGCTGCTTATGTTCATCTTTTCCATTTCTTGTAATTCCGTTAACTTCAAATTAATACAGAGTTTCCTTTTCACTGCTACTTACCTTCTTAATACAGCTGAACCCTATCATTATTCTAGCATAATAAATTCATATGTCATGGCTAGTAAATGAAGATCGACAAAAAGCCCATACGTTGGACTGCTAGGATGATAGACATATTGGGTATTGCCCAAGCTATTAGCATCTTATACAATAAGTAGCTCCATTGAACGTGAGAGATGATGCCATTTTGTTAAAACATGCAAACATTTTTCAACTGTAGTAGAAAAAATTGACACATGCGGTTCATAAATCATGGAATTAGATAACAACAGATTCATTTACTGCAACAAGACAAGGCATCTTGTGTTCAGTCAATTGGCAGCTTATTAACATCATTCTCAGAAGGAATGCAAACCTTTCATCTGATGGTATGGAACTATCTGTAGTACCATGGAAAAGGACAATATGGGGCAGCAGTGAAACTGCCTTGTCAGAACTTGGATCCTGGACAATAACTTCAGGAGAAAATTGCTCCAGTAATTTTTCTCCTTCCATTATACTATAAATAACAAATCAAGATATCAATAAAATGGAGCAAAAGAACATGGTTGTCAAAAATTTACCCATGAGTTATGAATTTAAATGACTTAACATTGAAAAGAACTTGTATACCTTAAGAAGATGGAGCGATACAAGCCTCGATTATGGAAATGGTCGACCAGATTGGGTAAATTGTACCTGTCAATATTCATAGATTAGGAAATTATTGGAGTCCGTCGAACAGTTAACTTCCCAATCATGGTGGAACCAGAGATACTGGCTCCTCAACAAGATGAAAACAAAATTTAAATCCTGAAAATATTATGCTTACCCCCCTGATAAACCAAAATAAGCTTTTATCTGGGAGACACTCCAAGAAATGCTATCGCCTCTGGATTCTTTGATTGCCTGCTGTACAAGAGCACAGGAAGAAACATGTGCACCAGCTGACTGACCCATGAGATAAATCCTGCAGAAATGTTTTCAGAATACATGTTTTAGCAAGAAGCATCATTCATAGTTCACCAGCACTCAGCAGGCCCCAACCCTTTTGTGCTTAGGAGTATGACATGTCAACCAGACTTGATGTTTAGGCTCAAAAAAATAAATCATTCCCCTTTTTCCATTCTGTTCTATTTAGCTAGGGTCAGATTCTCTATTTAACAACAAATCTATTTTATTCCTGACCTTATCCCCTATCCATCACCACTATTGACAAACACTTGGTCACTTAAGTTGTACATAACATCTCAATCAATTTCCCCTCATTTGATCTCTTTCATGAAAATCCTGATATTATTGCTTCTGTTTTGAAGTGAGCTCAATAAGAAATAAACATAAATTACTCACTTGTTTGGATCACCTCCATATTCAATAATATTGTTGCAAATATAATCAATCCCTTGAGAAACATCATTAACCATATCGCTGATTGTTCCCTGTGGGAAATTTCTGCAAGTAGATGGATACGCATAAATCAGGTGATAATATTGGCAATCAAAATTAAATATATGTACACATAGGAGATAAAGAGAGAATATTTATCAATGTATATGACGGTATTAGCAACTCAGGTCAATACCTGTGTTAATTTGGAAGGCCAACATGTGTAAATGATAATAGTTGTGTGTTGTGGTTTTTTTTAGAAGAAATACAGAAGAATCAATTGAAATAAATCATACCAATCCATTTCTGGAAGAGAAACACAATATTATTTGACGAAACATTTCTAAAGAATAGCATTGTTCTTTTCCAGGGTGGTGGGGAAAGAAAATCTAGTAATTTGTCTGGAATTAGGCAATATGGCCAATTCGCATAGGCTCTTTTTCTTATAAAAAATATGATTGCAAGTACATTCAATCCAAGAATCAGAATAAACATGATAAAGTTAAGATTGAGTCAGTTACCTGTAATCAATACATGCTACTATGATATCTCTTTCAGCTAATTGTAGTCCTAGCAGAGAACCCCATGCCTTGTATCTGTGAACGTGATTATACCATGATTTAATAGGACACAAGTAGCATTTTTCAACAGAGGATATAAATTATGCATTGGAATAGCCAGCTTAAAAAAAATCTACTGATTCCTTTGGATAGCATGACATTTTCAACAGAGGATATAAATTATGCATTGGAATAGCTAGCTTTAAAAAATCTACTGATTCCTTTGGATAGCATGTGACTTAAAATCCACTTAACAGATATTTTGAGAAGAAAACTAACACAGCACTGTCATTCAACATAAAAAACAGAAATATAGTATCTGAGTTGAATTTCGACTTTCAACAATGAACTGTCCAACTCAATTTGGTTAAGTCATATCTATTTTTCAAATTGATGGAATTCAACTTATAGAGATGGAGTTCCCTCCCATAGTGCCTAAGGGCTAGTTTGTTCAGTCATCTGAAATCCGATATTTGAAATAAAGATGCCCAGCAAAGTGGGCCAGTATTTCCCTAATTGAACATGTTTAGTAGGCCCACAACAAAGGTTTTGAGGTTTCTGAAATTTTAACTTAGAAAATGGCCAAAATCACAATTCTCCAAAGGCCTTTTTTAATCGAGATTTTGGATTTAATCTTATTTTCAAGAAGACAATGGGATCAGATGCTGCATCCACCCTTTAACAACACCACAATCGCCTTCTACCACCATTATCACTCAATTTACTTGCCTCTTTTTTCTTCATTCTTCCTCCCGCACAAAACTGAAAGTACCCTCACACCACAGGAGAACTTGACAGTAGCAGACACCACCACCCACCGTCTCCTCATTACTCCCCAAAGGTATCAGACAGCACTGACACCAAAATACCTTGTATCCACTTAATTAATCTCCCAAACACCAACGTCATTGAATAAATTTACAGGCAACAGCCACTACCACACCAATTCAACCAATATAACGTGTAAGGACATAAATTTATTTATCTGTAAACAAATTCAAAGAAATATTTATACACAAGATAATGTTTATAACAAATAGAAAATGGATAGGGCAGTTGGTAGCGGTGTATGATGTTGGAAGTGGCAGAGGTTGAATTTAGGGGAGGTAGGAAAGCTGGCAGAATGGCACCTCTAAAACCCCTAACTTAAAAAATAGGTGGATGAAGATAAGTTAAAAAGGTAATAACCTCTAGTTTACTCACCCAATAATCCAAGCCCCACCAGTTACAAATGCCACCACAGGTTTCAGGCCATCTTCATTTGATGGTAAATATAAATCCAACCTGGAAAGTACTTTTATATTATAATCAACATTGGACATAAATGAAGGCAAAGACTTCAATCTCACAAAATTTACCTATTCCTTGGTTGATCTCCATAAATAATACTTCTGCGGACTTGGCTTGAAAAGAAATATTGAAATGCAACTACCAAATAACAAATATAAAAGATCTCATCGTTCAAGATAAAGAAGCTGAATCTTGGACAAAAGCATCGAATTCAAGCTACGCATACTAAAAAAAATGATCGTATGTATTCTGCAAGTATAATATTACAGATAAAATAACTTTAGTTAAATATGTCTAGAGGAGTGATAAATCCATTTAAGGTAAGAAGCAGAAAAATATAATAACAATATGAGAATAGCAATACACCCCACCCCTACCCACAAATTGAAAAAAAGAAATGGACAATTACCTTCGAATATTGTTGTTTAGTTTTTCTACTCATAGTTACATGATTGTTCATGGATTCTTTTCAGAAAAATTAATCCAATTGCACTTTTCTCACTTTCACTTCGGGTTCACTGAACGGATTGTGCATTTTTAGATGACTTGTTCATTGGTTTCCAATGGACTAAAAACGTGATAAAAAATTTAGAAATCATTCTGAACTTTCAACCATTAACAAGGACCAAATTTTCTTTAGTGTCCTGCTCCTAATAACAAATGGTGAACACACTACATAATACATATTTAAAATATTAAACAAGTTATATATGCATAACCACTAAGTTTTCATGTACCAAAAAAGGGATAGTCAATTCTTCAACTCACTTTGGAGAAAGCCAGGCATGAGTAACATGGCATAAAGAGCTAGGGCAAGAAGTCGTGTAATCCAGCGGTAGCCTACCCTGAATAAAAGAAACATTTAGGAAAAAGTAAAGGTTGAAATTGAGAAAAAACCAATAACACAAAATGAGCATGTTTCAACTGTTAAGTTATTTGACCATTTTAAACTTGGGATCAAAGGAATCCATGATACCTGACATTTGGATTACACGATCTTGAATTGTGTGATATAGATGTAAAAATTGAAAAAGTTTGATTTTATTGCACCTTCCAAAGGCTTTATTGGCAACAAGGCCAAACATCTTGTTGTAGTTGTTGTGAATTATGCGCTCAAAAAATCTAAAGAATCAGCAAATGAACATTTGTTATAGGCATTTTATGTTCAAGATCAGTTTAAGTGATATCCTTTTCAAATGAGGGAATTAGATTTTGCAATTGGACATGAAGATGAGAGTGTTGTTCA